GGGGATCCCTCACAAGTCGTTAATTGATTTTATAGTACTTACCGCGCTGCGGGCTAATGTGCTGGACTGCAAGGTTGACTTGGACAGCAAAGTTGGCGGTTCAGGCTCACCAGCCACTCCTCTGAAACCCTATACAGGGTCGCTACAACCGTACTCAATAACAACAAGAGGACTTTCTGGTGGCGTAGCAGGCTAGGCATTAGACTGCTAACCACAAGGTCGGTGGTTCAAACCCACCAGTTGCTCTGTGGGAGAAAGTTGTGAGGCTGCCTGCTCCCATGAAGAGTTACACTCTTGGTCTCTAGGAGTCGGAATGGAATCAACGGCAGTGGGTTGGTTTGTAAGACTGCAGGGGGAGCCCAGGGCTGGAGGTTAAGTGTTGGACTGTTCATTGAAAGGTCAGTGGTTGAAATCCACCAGCCGCTCTGTGGAAGAATGATGGGTCTGTCTGTTTCTGTAAAGATTTATAGCCTTGGAAACCCGATGAAGCAGTTCTACTCTGTCCTATAGGGAATCCATCGGGGTTAAGACTGGAGTGGTAGTGTTGTTGTTAAGTGCCGTCGAGTTGATTTTGACCCATCGTGACTCTGTATAGGGTTTCCGAGGAGCAGCTGGTGAGCTTGAACTGCCGATCTTGCAGTTCAAACGGCTTTGCAGTCTGGCGCATTGACCCACAGCACCACACCCTGGAGTGGTACAAACTATTAAAACACTTGATGAAAATTAAAAGATTGGAGGTTCGAGTCCACCTAGAGGCACCTTGGAAAAACGGCTGGGTGATCAACTTCCAATAAATCAGTCATTGAAAATCTCATGGAGCACAGTTCTACTCTGACACATGTGGGTATGCATGAGTTGAAGTCAATTCTATGGCATTTGGCTTTTTGTTTTAAGAGTACAGTGAATGGTAGAAGGAATCTGAATCCAGAACACAGACAACCTGGGTAGTTTTTCCACTAGCGAGAGTATGTTTCCTGAAGTAGAAATGACCAAATTTAGAAAAATTTGAAACACAAAAAGAACAAAAGACAGAGAAAGAGATACTAGGAAGGGAAGAAAGCATAGCAAAATGAACAACATGCTAGGAGCCTCAGAAATTTAACCTTTCTCCTTAATGCACAGTAGCTGGCCCCTCTGTTAACCTCTCATGTTTTTTGTAATATGCCTTATTTTATTAATCAAAAATAGTGCTGATGGGATTTCATTACTCACCTCAGATCTTTAAGAGGATTCGATGAAAGAACACATAGAAGTATTTTCTAAAATGTTTTAAAGAATTCTGAAAAAGTTTAAAGGTATTGGATGCCTCTAAGAATGCTGTTCTTCTACGAAGGTTTCTTACAGATTTGATATGGCTGGGCCTGAAAATTGTTCAATGTGCCAGTACTGTATACATCCATCCCCAGTTGTTTGAACTCATGTAACCTCATGTGTTTCACAGTAGAACTGCACTCCATAGAGTTTTCATAACTGTGATCTTTCAGAAGCAGATGGCCAGTCCTTTCTTTGGCAGCTCCTCTGACTGCTGTATTGACCGTTTTGCACCTCCTGAGAGTATTGTGTAGTCATCAGATTAAACTTTCACAACTAACTACTAGAAAGACTAAGTAGAAATAAGAGGTAGGCAATAAAGGAGTCCTGGTGTGGTGCTGTGGATTAATGCACTGGTCTGCAAAGTCCTTTGAAGTGCAAGGTTGGCGTTTCAAGCTCACTAGCCCCTCCTCGGCAACCCTATACAGGGTTGGAACTGACTTAACAGCACTAAACAGACATCTATGTAATCTTTTTTCTGTAAACTAATATCCTACTAACTTTTTCTTCTTAGTAAGATAGTGTGAGTTCAATGGGGGAAAGAAACATCTCCAGCTTTCTCAAGTCAAGAACAGCTCTCTTATCTTCTAGATACAACTTTGTATAATTTCAGAAACACCTACTTATACCTATCTGTTACCTACCTGGCTCCTTATTGGGTGAACTGCATCCCCCTGAACTTCTTAAAGGCAAGCTTTTTCAGTAACGGTTTAAAAACCTTTGGAGAGGTTTCTTAGATGCAACATTAATTTCCATTATTATAGAATAAATTTCTTATTTAACTGATTTAAACTGCCTTGAACCTAGAGCAATATTTTTGACACTGCTTGCTAAGAAGTCTTGGATAAGTGTATTTTTCCAGTCCTGGTATAGTGGTATAGGACAAGCACTGGACTGCTAACCATAAATTTGGTGTTTCAGACACACCAGCTGCTCCTCAGAAACCCTACACAGGGTTGCTATGAGTTGTAACAGACTCAATGGCACTTACCAGCAACAATAAAATGAAATTGCACTGAAATATGCAAAGACCTGGAGTTAGAAAATCAAAAGGGAAAAAAAAAAAAGGCATGCTCAGCATTTCTCAAGCTGAAAGATCTGAAAAGAAAAAATTCAAACCTTGACTTGGAATGTTGAAGGATTCTATGGACATAAGAGTGAACTATGCAGAAAGTATCAAAGGTAGATGGAAGGAGTATACATAGGCACAGTACCAAAAGGAACTGGTCAACATTCAGTCATTTCAGGAGGTAACATATGATCAAGAACCGATGGTACTGAAGGAAGAAGTCCAAGTTGCACTGAAGGCATTGGAGAAAATAAGCTCCAGAAATCGATGGACTACAAATTGAAATCTTTCAGTGCTGGAAGCACTCATTCACCTATGCCAAGAAATTCAGGAGCTAGTTAACATTGCCAACAGACTGAAGAGATCTATATTTATGTCCATTTCAAAAAAGGTGACCCAACAGAATGTGGAAATTATCGATCAACAAAATTAATATCACAAGCAAGCAAAATTTTGCTGAAGATAATTTTTAAATGGTTGCAACAGTATTATCAACAGGGAGCTGCCAAAAATTCAAGCCAGATTCAGAAGAGGACATGGAATGAGGGTTATCATTGCTGATGACAATGGACCTTGGCTGGAAGCAGAGTATGTCAGAAAGAAGTTTACTTGTGTGTTTTATTGATAGTGCAAAGTCATTAAACTGTGAGGAACATAACAAACTATGGATAACATTGGGAAGAATGGAAATTCCAGAAAATTTAGTTGTACTCATGTGGAACCCTACATAGACTAAGACACAGATGTTTGAGCAGAACAAGCGAATACTGACTGTTTTAAATTCAGGAAAGGTGTACACCAGGGTTTTATTCATTCACCATACTTGTTCAATCTGTATGCTGAGCAAATAATCCAAGAAATTGACAATATGGAGAACATGCCTTGAGGATTAGAGGAAGGCTCATTAACAACCTGCAATGTGCAGATGACACAACCTTGCTTGCTGAAAGCTAAGAGGACTTGAAGCACTTGTTGATGACAATCAAAGACTACAGCCTTCATTATGGATTACAACTCAACATAAAGAAAAAAAAAATTAGCAACTGGATCAATAGATAACATCATAATAAATGGAGAAAAAATTGAATTTGTCAAAGATTTCATGTTACTTGAATTCACAATCAATGTTCATGAATGCAGCAGTCAAGTAATTAAATGACTGAATTGGGAAACTCTGCTGTAAAAACCTCTCTAAAGTGTTCCAGAACAAAGATGCCGCTTTGAAGATTAAGGTAAAACTGGCCCAAAGCCTTTCTTTTGTTGCTGATAAGTGCTATCTAGTTGGGTCCTGCTCGTATTGACCCTGTATAGGGTTTCTGAGGAGTGACTAGTGGGTTTGAACCTCCAGTCTTATGGTTAGTAGTCCAGTGCTTATCCTACAATGCCACACCAGGACTCAACCCAAGCCTTCATATTTTCAACTGCCTGCTATGCATGTGAAAGTTGGACAGTGAATAAGAAAGACTGGAGAAGAATAGATGCATTCAAATTGAGGTGTTAGTGAAGAATATTGAAAATACCATGGACTGACTGCCAGAATAAAAACCAAATCTGTCTTGAAGAAGTGCACCCAGAATTCTCCTTAGAAGCAAGGATGGCAAAACTTCACCTCACTCTACTTTGGACATGTTAGCAGGAGGGGCAAGTTCTTGAACAAAACATTATGTTTGTTAATGTAGAAGGTCAGTGAAAAAGAGATAAACCTCCAATGAGATGGATTGTCAGAATGGTTGAAACAGTGGATTCAAACAACAATTGTGAAGACGGTACAGAATGGGGCAGTGTTTTGTTCTGTTGTGCAGAGGGTCCCTATGAGTCAGAACTGACTTGATGGCACCTAACAACAACAACAACAAAATAGGTTTTGTGTGAAGTAACTTTTCAATATTTATAATATGTAGCTTTTTGTTTTGCTTTGTTTTGTTTGATGACTGACATT